ATACAGATACAGATACAGATACAGATACAGATACAGATACAGATACAGATACCCACCCACAAAGGGACCAAAGATGAGCGTAAACAATCCCGTGATGAGCAGTTGTAGGCCAGAGGCGCCTGGCAGACGATTCAGCGGCACGTAGCCTGGTATGATCAGTGGCCAGAAGATGGTGCGCACGCCCTTGCACAGGCCAATCCAGGTGAAGCTGGCCAGGATGCCCATGTAGGATCGCGTGCAGGCGACGCCGGTGCGTCCGATGGCGATGCCCATGACGCCAATGAGAAAGAAGACGCGATTATCCCAGGGTATCTTCTCGGTGACGAACGGCACCAGGAAGCGCACCATCATGTCCATGCCGGCCATCAGGGACATGGCCACCGTGATCTGCGACGTCTCGAATCCAAAGTCCGTCAATATGAGCGGCGTCAGAATCGCAAAGTTCAGCTCCCCGAAGTTGATGACCGTCAGGCCGAAGACCAGATTCACAAACGTTATGTCGCGCAGCAGGTCCAGGTCGAAGAAGGTCACGATCTTCTGCACGAAACTCATCTGGGATGGCGGCGGCAGCTCCGTGTCGCCGCTGTGGTTGTTGTTGTGCTCCGCTTGCTGCTCCATTTGGCGAGCAGCAGCGATCGCCCGCTGCTCCGCACAGCTGCAGCGACTCGACTCCAGCATGGACTCCTCGCGCTCTCGCCGAAAGTAGTTCGGCCGCAGGAAGTCATCGTCCTGCTGCTGCTCCTTGCTGGCAGGACTGGCCACGCGTTGCGTATGCTCCAAGTCCTTCGAGCTGGACACCGTGCGGAAGCGCATGCGTCCAGAGCTGAGCGACATCTTGGACCCATACCAGCCGTCGTTCGCCCGCGACAACATGGGCGTGCCCGGCTCAATGATCTCGTAGCCGGGTCGCTGGGCATCGTCGTCCTGGTACAGATACTGGCTGGAGAAGATGCCGCCCGGCTCGCGCTTGCGCTGCAGCATACAATGGGCGCACAGTATCTCCGGCTGCTGCTCCGCCTGCTTGAGTGCCGCATCAGCCTCATCCTTAGCCTCAGCCGCAGCCGCAGTCGCAGCGTTCGGGCGCAGGTGATAGCGCACCGGCTGAAAGATCAGCGCGCCGACAAAGCTGTGCAGCGAAAGGGCGGCAAAGATCAGCGCCGTGCCCTGGACATCGTAGATGCTCAGCAGGAAGGTGACCAGATATGGAAAGAAGATCGGCCCCAGTCCGGTGATGGTCCACGAGAAGCCGGCGGCGCGTCGCCGCTTCTGCTGGAAGTATGTGTTGATGGCCAGCGAGGAGGCCGACACGTTGATGCTCATGCCAAAGCCTGAGAATGGAGATGGATGTGACCAAGGAACTGGAGCAATCGAATGGCACACGACTTACCGTAAAGCACCGAATAGGCGACTATGTAGCCGGCGAAGGTCTCGCAGAAGCCGCTCAGCGCGATGCCGGTGAAGGAGAGCAGCGCACCCGCCATGGCCACCTGGCGGAAGGTGAAGCGCCGAAACATGGGCCCGTTGAGCAGGCCCGAACAGGCAGCGACAGCCGGCTGCGTATTGACTATGGTCGTCACCTGGGAGCTGCTCAGGCCCAGGACACTGAGGCGTTGGCCGAACAGCAGGCCGAACTGCTGCAGGCACGGATACAGCGACATCTGTCAGAGCGATGGCATTGCCCATGGATAATTGCTTGGCACTGGATGGGAGTTTCGATTTTACCTACATTCGATATGCCGGCGGCGATGCACACCAGCCACGCCCAGCCGCCATCGGGCGCCACAAAATTCTCGCCAAGATCACTCTTGTCCTTCCGGTTGTAGTAGACGCCGTCTCCTGCGGCCCGGCGCGGCAGCGGCTGTGTCGTATCCCCATAGACCTTCTGCTCCTGGGACGGCATGTCGGATCTCGTCTCGCTGGCGCCTCTGGCCTCGCTCTGCAATCAATGCCAATAGATTCATCAGTTCGCACTGTGACGCAACGGGAGCCGATGTCATGAGCGTGGCATCGACGTCAATTCCGGAATGATTTAAAGCCAGTTCAATTGCAATAGAGTTCTAACGAGCACTTGTCAGAATTAACTGCGACAGAACGAGGCAGATGTCAGGTATGAGATCGTGTGGTTGTTGTTGTTGTAGTTGTTGTTGTTGTTTTTGTCGTGCTCAGAGCTGAGATCTTTTGCCCGCCCAATCAGCCTCGTCATATGACCAGACGTTGCCAAGACCAACCTAAGCCTACAATGAATCATTTTGGCCAACTAGAGCTAGAGACTATGATTAGTAGATGGTATATAGCATATATATATATATATATGATATATGTTGCATAATAGTTGTAAACGATCTCAGCTCCTGCTGCCTTAGTTCTATTGATCGATCAAGCCTTATCACTCACTGCCTTAGTTACCTGTGCAAACTGCAAGCCAATTCGCTCTGTCAATGGCTCGCTTGTTGATCTTATCTTTATCTGTTTGCTACTACTACATATATGTAGCTTCTATATAGCGAGAGATACAGCCAAGTGATAACAATAGTTCTTTTGTGCGATCGATCGATTGCCTGGGATCGCTAACTGATTTGAGGGATTCGATTTCTTTTTGCTGCCCTAGAGCCACGCCCCTGCGGGCAGGTGCGCCCAGCTCATGAGCGAAATTCGTGATAAGAACGTGTTACAGAACCGATTTAATCAGGCCATCTAATCAGCCATAGATTGATATATCTCTAAGCAAGTGTGTGCATACCTCGATGACAATATATATATTTATATATATATATATATATATATACATATATCAATTGATATATATATAATTGTCGCTAATTGCTTTGGCTTGCTCCTCTTGGCTAATGCGAATGCGAATTTATCGCTGGCAGTCGATCTGCCTCTTGGCGCCTTCTGCCCTCCCTTCTCCTTCTCGTTTTGCGTGTGCAATTTTATTTTTACTTGTGCGCTCACACACACGCCCACACTCTCACGCCCACATTTACAAAAAAAAGCAAACAAAAAAGAAACGATTAGATGAATAAATAATTTTACATCTTTTTAGTGGCTTTGACTTTGGCAACTCATCAAGTTCAACGTCGCCCAGCACCACGCACCGCAATCTAATTTCGTCCAATTGACGCAACGTAACCGAAATTCGAATTCGAATCCAATTCAAACAATGCGGCACTGCAATTGCACTTATCCAATTGGCATGCCGCTTCGATGGTTAACAATTGCTAAGCGATTAAGCGGCTGAGCGGTTAAGCGGGTAAACGGTTATCGGCTCAATACGTGGGCCGCGGTCTCGTCTCTTTTAGCTGCTCAAACAAACTAAATACCGATAATTGCCCGACGTCAAATCAGCGCAAATGCCAATCCAATTGAGAGACGCCGAACAGTGTGCAGCGCTCAACAGCGAACTGTTAGCGTGCTGTTAACTAACAGCAGTGCATGCTGTGCAGCCCACAGCGCTGCGACTGTTAACGCCAGTAAAGCCAAGCGAGCGAGCCAGCAGCGAGGTGTGTTTGATGAATTCAGTTTACACAGTGAAACTTATTTTTCATTAAATTGATATTAAATTTTATTTAAATTCTTGTTCAACTTTGCTTAACTTCTTATGATATTAGCGAACGCCAACTGTGCAGAAAACCAACGAAATTTATATTTCAGTGCTAACTGGCCTCAGGGCATCCAGTAAATGTATTCTCATATACAGTGAACACTCGGTTAACGAACGTCTCAAACAAGAATTGTGTTCATTAACCGAGTGTACACTGTTGATCTTTATATATTTCTTAATCGAACAATAATATGTGTATTTTACTTTATTTTATTATAATTTTTTTTTTTTAGAGATTTTACAGTATACATGGTACAGTAAAAATAAAATGATCTAAAAACTTTAGCCAAATAAATGTATGTTAACTCAGTTCTTCAGTTTTTAAAGTACAGTTCCGTTAAAGCTAACACATATATGTATATAAAAAAAAAAAATATTTTTTTATAGCTTACTATAAGTACTTATGAAGTATATGCAATCGGGTATTACGCTAGGTAATATCTCTTAAATTCTAGCAGCTTATGGTACGAGCTTACGAGCCGAAGTTAATGCGAATTGCTTAGGGTAATACTATAGACAAGGTAATTGAAACGGATGTAGATTTGACCTGGGCCAACTGGTCTACAGTGGTGGGCCGCATAAGTAGCTCTCCTGCAGCAGGGCTGCCCCAGCTGACCGCTACTGTTCCGGTGGGCTGTACGGCTTGCCGAGCGCACGTCGGATCGCTGACTCGGCGATCCACATGAGCAGGGCGAGGCCGGTGAGGAAGTTGAGGCAGTGAATGGTGGCGCTGTAGCCATAGGCATTGGTGATGACGCCTGCAAAGCACAAAGCATGGAGATTCGAGATTAGAGGGATTCCAGTGTGCTGCACTCGAGCGGAAATACTCACCCAGCAGGGGTCCCATGGCGAAGGAGAAGAGCGTGTTGAAGATCAGCTGCAGTCCGGAGGCGGCAGGCAGGCGACGCAGCGGCACATAGCTGGGTATGATCAGTGGGGAGAATATGGTGCGGAAACCCTTGCCGAAGCCGATGAGCAGAAAGACGGCCACGATCACGTTGAAGGACGAGGCCATGGTGACGATGACGCGGCCGACAGCGATGCAAATGATGCCGAAGGCGAACAGCACCCGATTGTCCAGGTTCACCTTCTCGAGAAAGAGCGGGGCCAGGAAGCGCACCGAGATGTCCATGCAGGCCAGCAGCGACATGACCAGGGAGCACTGCTCGTTCGTATAGCCATAGCTGTTCAGAATGAACGGCGTGAGCACCGAGAAGTTCATCTCGCCGAACATCATGATGCTCATGCCGACGACCAGATTGACAAAGGTCACATTGCGCAGCAGATCCAGATCGAAGAATTTGGCCACCTTCTGGCGAAACTTCATTTTGCGCTTGGCCACCTCCTCGGCCTCGACGGCGGCCTGCAGTGCCTGCTCCTGGAGACGCAACGCCTCGGCTGATTTCTCCAGCACCGCCTTGTCCTCGGCGCAAGTGCAGCGCAGGGGCTCCTCGCCGCCCGGCTTGGAGTAGATGCTCGTCTTGCTAGCGTACCGGCCGAGGTCGCCGCGCTCACGATTGAAGTAGTTCGGCTTGGATAGACCCATGGCCGACTCCTGCTGCCGCTGCAGCCGATCGGCCTCGTTGGCCTCCTCCAGTTTGTCCAAGTTGTCGCGGCTCAGCTTGGTGGCCGCCGAGGTCGCGACACTGACAGAGGCCTGGCGCAGCAGCACCTGCCGCCGCTCGGAGGCCAGCGACAACTTGGAGCCGAACCAGCCGTCGTTGGCCCGTGCCAGCATCGGTGTGCCTGGATCGGTGATCTCGTAGCCGGGATGCTCGGGATCGTCGTCATTGAAGAGATACTGCGAGGAGAAGATGCCACGCTTGGCGCGCTTCTGGTACTGGCAGTACTTGCACTCGTAGTCGCTCCACGGATCGCTGCCCGCGGACAGCAAATTGCCATTGGCCTCGAGCAGCTCCGGCTGGTCCTTGGGATCGACGCTGTCGGGCTCGGGCTTCTCCGGCTTGCGCACATGCCGCATCACCGGCTGCAGCGTAAGGGCGCAGAGCACCGCATTGAACGCGATGCCGGCATACACCAGAATCGTGCCCAGCGAGCCATAGTAGTCCAGCAGAAAGGTGGACACGTACGGAAAGATGATGGGTCCCAGGCCCGTGATGGTCCACGAGAAGCCGGTGGCACGCCGGCGGCTCTGCTTAAAGTACGTGTTCACGGCCAGCGAGACGGCGGCCATGGCCAGACCCAGGCCCACACCATAGATCAGCGACAGGCAGATGATGTACTGCCAGAAGGTGGTGCAAAAGGCCGAGCCGAAGATGCCCAAAAAGCCAAGGGATGCGCCAGCCAGCGCCACCTGGCGGAAGGTGAAGCGCCGAAACATTGCTCCATTGAAAATGCCTGGAAATAGTCGATGTAGTTACCGAGCCTAGATCCACCCAGAGATGCTGTGACTTACCCACTAGCGAGGACAGCGTCATCACCACATTCACAATGATCGTCGTCTCCTTGGCATCGAAGCCCAGCGTCGACATGCGCGCCCGGTAGATCAGACCGTACTGCTGCAGTGCCGGAAACATGAAGAACTATACAAAGCCAGAAAGGATTAGTTGAAGTCGTTTCCATATCTGCTGTAGTTCTCTCTCTCTCTCTCTCTGTGGTACTCACATTATTCAGGCCCGCGGCCACACAGATGACCCAGCCCCAGCCGCCATCGGGCGCCACAAAATCGGGACCCAGATCGCTCTTGTCGCGACGCTTCGGTTTCTTGGGCTTCGTCGTCTCATTGTAGACGCTCGCGTAATTCTTCTGTGTCAACGTGGACTTATCCATGGTAGTTGATGCCTGCAATGGGAGTGCAAGAAGTGGGAAAAGTCTTAGACTTTACTTCTGCATGACTTTTGCATTTAGTTGACTGAAGTGGATTGGATAGGGTACATTAGTTCACAGATCTCTCTACAATCGAAATGTAGCCCAATCCAAATCCCAGTTCAAAGTATAGAATGTTGGAAACTTAAACAAGAGTTAGCCAAGACAACTTTTGGGTCCGCAAGAATCTTTACGACGGTCAGGAAATTACTCTCAAAGAGATCGAATGTCTCTCTCCCCATTTCTCCCTACCCCAAAATGCATTTCACAGTTATAATTTGGCTTGTTAGCATACGAAAACGTCTACCCGATTAGATAATCTTCAGATAACTACGCAACATGACATTGAATTCGTGCTCAAGCAGAAAAATCCCGATATACCGGAAGTCAGTGAAGACTTTGCTTAGAGGGCAAATATTTGCGAAACCAATTGAAGAGCCACAAGTCGGACGCATGCCATGGCATGATTAAATAGCATGTCTTTCTTATAGACAAACTCAACTCTAATTTCTAAGCTAACATGGCATAACCAGACAGGCATCTATCTATTGATCTATCAGCGTTTACCTGAAGCTATGCAAAATTGTCGCCATTTGTAAGGTGGAAAATTGCGGTCTATCAGAGCTGTTAGACTTCGACTCCTTGCGGCATGCCGCGGCACACCTCATCATTATTGTTATTGCCATTGCCTAATGCTAGATAATGCTCTAATTGCTAATTGGCATTGTCGCCGACAACGTCGGCAGACCGTCCCCCATGCTAGGCATTATTACTATTATGGTAGGAACGGGTCTGGGTTTGGGTTTGGGTTTGGGTCTGGGTCTGGGTCTGTCTTAGACATGTGCTTTCTACAATATATTGTGTTGATTTTGCCATATGGGCGCGACGTGACCAAAAACCGCGTCGATCTTTCTAAGCGATTCGTATTTATATGCAAAACACGATAGTCGCACCAATCGCTGTTGCTTCTTCGCCCAGAGCGAGCGGCAATCGAACGTGGCTTGGGAAATCACTTAGCGGGTGTGCCCGGTTCATTGAGATCAATGCGATGCCATGGAGCTGGCTTAATGGCTGATGGTTGCAGCCAGACAGGAATTGCTGCTGGACGAGGGGTAGAGGCAGTGGTAGAGGCAGACTGTCGCCGTCATTTGGGTTCTTCATAAAAACGCAGAGACAAAACACAAGAAAAAAACACAAAATCATTTGGTTTAGTTGTAAAAATAATGAAGAGTCCATAAGGAAAAGAGCAGTTAAGCATAGCCCCTATCTGCGTCCCTCTCTCCACCCCCCTCTCTCTCTCTCTCTCTCTCTCTTTCAGTCTGGCATCGCCCTCATCTG